GAATATCTGTTGAGACAACGTCATGCACGTCAGCTACATCGTCCTCCGCGGGACCACCGCCGACATGTTGCGGTCATATTGTCCGTCATATGTATGTAAAGTGACAAATTGATGGTTAGACAGGCGTGTGGCGAGGGGGGACAGGTGGTTGTTATTGTCTATTAATCCCCTCATCGAGGTGTGGAAACAAACAAACAAACCCAGTGCCCCTAAACCACTTCAAATTGTCAACACTTGATATATGCCATGATGATAATATGTATTTGTCCTTGTGATAGTTTGTCATATTACCTCCTCGTTGTAAATATGGCATTAAGCTCACCGTACAAATATGACATGTCTGTGTGAAGTGGATATTGGTACCGTCACAGTACAGTATTGAATCTCCGTGTGTGGGCGAATAGCTTCTCAATGAGTAATGTGTATATTGGGGAACAAGAGTCGGTTAATTCAGGAGATTATGTACACAGATACAGTATCAGGACACGGGGCCACGGGTTGTGCAGTCTCCGAGGGCGCCACAATTCGCTGTAGAGTTGAGTCCCACACCATGCCAGAAAACTATTATCGTTGGTTCGAATCCCAGTCCGACATGATTATGTTCTTGGTTTTTCAGCACCATACCCGTGCTCGAGGGTTTCATCAAAGGGTCTGAGACCTGCATCACCTCGGGCTTTCCCCCATTAAGCTGACACGCCGTGATATAACTGGAATACTGTTCAAACCAGCGTTACCCAAATTCACTCACTCACTCACTCACTGACATGAGGTCAGTTCCCAACTCTCTAGGTATCTTTACAGTGGACGAACATCGTGTTGAGGTAATCGATCATAACCATAAGGTGAAGTGCTTTGATCCAGACTTCCCGTCTCTTGGCTGACACAACGTTGTTTGGGTGTATTAAATATGATAGCCCTTCGGGTTATTGGCAATCTATTAAGACAAGAAGAATGGATCATTTATGTTTACCGACGGTATTTGATTTGTTGACCAGTGTTGTGGAGGTAGAGCTTGTAGAGGGCTACATTTTCATACTCCTTGATGTCATATGGGAGTTTTATATCCCTTATAGTAGCTCTGTCTATGTATCTACATTGACGCCATATGTAAACTTCACGTCGCTTGACGCCCTCTTGGAGTTTATCATGCCTTAATACTACCAGTGATGTTTACACACATTGATGCCTTCGCCTAGTTTCATATACACCTTGGAGTTTCATATGCATTGATCGCATCTTGGAGTTTCATATGCATTGATGTCATGTGCTAGATTTGTGTGTCTTGACCTCGGAGGTTATGTTCTAAAGACCTATCAAACCTGAACGAGTGAATGACTATGGTTTTACGTCAGTTGTAGTAGTAGTAGCAGTAGTAGTAGTAGTAGGAGGAGGAGGAGTACTATCAGCAGCAGCAGTAATAGTAGTGGTAGAAATAGTAGTAGTAGTAGTGGGTGTGTATGGTTTTACGCCGCTTTTAGCAATGAGTGAGTGAATATTGCTTAACGCCGCATCAGCAATTTTGCAGCTATTCGCGGCGACCCGCTTTTAGCAATATTTCAGCAATATCTCGACGGGGGACCCACGATATTGACTTCACACATTGTACCCATGTTGGAATCGAACTCGGATCTTCTCCGTGCCGAGCGAACACTCTAACCACTAGGCTACCCCACCGCCCCAAACAAGGGCATACATAATCTGATCCAGATCACAATCCTTTGACATCTCAATGTATCCAGTGACCACACTGAGCACACAGATACAGCACGTGCAATCTCCTCACATTGTCCAGCGGTGCCATGGGAACCTGTCGACGATGGACAGTATAATGACTAAATTATCACAGATTTTATGGAAAACTAGCATACAGCAGAAAAATGGTATGACTATTTTTTGACAGTCCAATATAAAAACTGGTCTACAGGTCGCCGGCACCCAAAGGTAGGCCAGCACACTAGGAGACCTTTGGGACTACTCTCCTCTACCGGCATGGTATCCCAGCAGGATCCCCCCTCCATCCATCTAGCTATGCTAAGCAAAATATTGCGCGGAACCAATATTCTAAAATTAAAACCGTGGTAGATATGAAAATGGCCTGTACGGTACTTGCGTGTACAAGAAGATACATGAAGCTACAGCATACCACCAGTGTTTATCAACGACCATTGTGTCCCTCCGAAAGTGCAAGATCAGACTTTGACCATCAATGCTATTTTAATACCTAATGCCTGTTTTGGTTTGTCGTGTTTGAATATTCTCTCATTTGCAGACCGTGGGAATTTCAGTATTTTACTCCCTATGTCTGAATGGTTATAATGTCATACTTTATTACAATTGTTTCACAAAATCAGACCAGAGTCAGATTTTAAAATCTCTGCTTCAATGTTTAAGTTGTCCTTCCACCAGAACAATACCTTCTGTTACATCCAACCTCGTGTTCTACGGAGATACACTCCTGACACACAGTTTGACCATACCTGTCTATGGGCAATGTAAGACGACACCTTGTTGACACCTGTTGCCACTGTCGGTGTTCCCGGTCGCCCGGTCTGTCAACACCCAGAGAGAGAGGAGAGAAAATGGCAATACGCCGTCCATGTACAAATAGCAATATCACTTACTAATCCGTTCATGGAGATAGACCACGGAGAACTGGGTCACGCTGACCTTTGTAGAAGGACAACAGAGTTGAGACGTTCTTACGTCAACAAAACAGAGATTACACACAAAGACGTATTCAAGTTCTTGTAGACAACATGTTGGTGGTGAGCTTGAAATGGGACATGTCTATATCATACCAGGCACCCGGGCGGGGCTGGCGGTACCCCTGCGTAGCTGTTTTGAGATGGTGAGAATTCTAGGCGTGGACATTGCTGTTTGGTGAATAACAGTGAATGAAAAGAATTAAATATACATTACCTTTCATGCTGATGTACAGGTATAGGCTATAGGCCGTGGTCAGTCTGACTCACACAGCAGATATTTACACGGTGTCGATGTATCTGAACGCACATTCTGGAAGGTCATTCTAGAACATACAGGATAGGCGTCTGACGTGCATCTAAAACAGGTATGACAAAGACACGAGATATATGTATTACAGAGAGACACGCGATATACGTATTACTGAGAGGCACAATATATATTTATTACAGAAAAACACGAGATATACGTATTACTGAGAGACACGAGATATATGTATTACAGAGAGACACGCGATATACGTATTACTGAGAGGCACAATATATATTTATTATAGGAAAACACGAGATGTACGTATTACTGAGAGACACGAGATGTACGTATTACTGAGAGACACGAGATATATGTTTTGCCGAAAGACACAAGGTATGTGTATTACAGAGAGACACGAAGATATATGTATTATAGAGACACGAAATATGTATTACAGAGGAACACGAGGAATATGGATTTTCAATTTCTGTTTGCTTTATACGTAAGGTTTCGGGGCGACTTCTTGCCCCTTAATCAGATGAAGGATCAAGGAGGTCTGAGGTATATGCAGTATTGCTTCCTTTGACCGCCATGACCTCCTTCCAATGACGGGGGCCTGTCTATTATTGAGTAAGAACCATACAAACCAGTGAGTGATATAATGAGCAACGCCCCAAGCCGTCCTGGTACGAAGTCAGTGAGCCTGATCACTCGATCCATGTATGCGCCTCGTACGACAATCGTGTGTTTCTGAGGACCGTATCGTGAAGATTCCGGGTTACAATTGCTCTCAAGCAACCCAAGCTTGTCGTAACAGGCGACTATGCCTGTCATAAGAGGCGACTAACGGGATCGGGTGGTCAGGCTTGCTGACTTGGCTGATTCATGTCATCGTAACTAATTGCGTAGATCGATGCTCATGATGTCAATCAGTGGATTGTCTGGTCCAGATTCGATTATTTACAGACCGCCGTCATATAGCTGGAATATTGAGTGCGGCGTTAAACAACGAACCAACAAAATGGTGAGGACCAACTCTAACCCGGGGTCCCTTGGGGCTAGGTGTGAGGAGCCGACAAGTAGGTGCTGAGTGGTGCCGCGTCACAGTAGATCAGATTGTAGTGTGAAGCTTGTGTTGTATTGATCTGTTATAATTAAATTTTCGTTGTGTTCATTGAAATTCCTGTATTCTGATTAGCTGAATAGGTCACGTGTTATTGCATTCATTTCCCAATGAATGTAAAACATTAAGCCACGCCCACCGAGGCGCACTACTTTTATTACTTCGGAATGTCGGGGAATCCCAATATTACAGCCGAGGGAATTCCCTTTCTGCTCACGTGTATCGTCATGCACAGGACATTTAGCGACTTTCATGCATATTCATTGTCCAAACAAACCTTTGAAACCGAAGGCCGAGAATGAATGAAACAGCAAACGTGCAGGCTCGCTCGCCGTTTTTTTTCTGCTCGCCTCGGTTCAACTTTCATGTCATCGGGTTTCCTTTCTAACTAGCATTTTTTCAAGTGTGTTTTACCGTAATCAGGGAAGTAATGTTTGAATCTGGCGGTAACTGACCGTGTAATTTGAAACAGCCGCCTTCTCCCGGACATATTTCTTCTAGTTCGTTACAGTCTGACTGTTGCAGTTCTTTTCGCCACTTGTCTTAACTGACAGGTCCAATGAACATTGTTTTGATCCTGCTCTCCATTGATTGTTTACTGACAGTGAAGGCGTGTCAATTTATGTGCATAAATTAAACAATCACCTGATTCATGTCACGCCACAGTATGTATTCCTACACCTGGAATGTTTATCAATCTCGTCATTTTTGTCTGTTTTGATATATACAACTGTTTTTGGTTAAACTATTGTAGATAAAACGCGGATTCATACAGTTTGCACATTGGTTTTTCGATTCATACCTCAATGAACCGAAAAAAATACACAGTCAATCCTTAAATGACATACGGATGTTACCAGGGATAAGGTGGTATCTATGTCAGCGTGTGGCTCTACGTTGCATTGAACGTCTCTTGTTGCAGGTGCAGCGTGGAACAAGGAATATCAGTCCAGATTGGCGTCCAACAACTCTGGCAGTTGTAAGTACCATTTGACATAGGCTACCACCTTCAGGTCATATTGCATCATCGCCTTTAGGCGACTCCATCACTTTGGCTTGACTGCACCTTATAAACCTACTGCCACTTTTGCCTCTTGTAGTGTAGGTATCTTCCTATCTCGTCTTAACCTCTCTGGAGGTTTTACCTTTTCCTAGTAAGACCTGATGAGTTGAGCAGTAGATGAAATTTGTACTTCAAACGTCCAATGTTCCAAGATGGAAGACAAGAAATGAACGATTGCATTATGGATGACGGGAATAGAACCCACAACCTCACATATCTTGTTTAGTTTTGTAACCCAATGTTTTCCCACTGAACTACCAGGGCAAGTGATGAAGGGTTGTTCAATGTTACATGTCATGAATCCAGTTGAACCATGCTGCGCGTGTTTTTTCTCTCGCGCGCTTTGATCGAATTCCTTTTATACCGCGACAAACTGTATTGTTTCACCATAGGATATCTCGATGTTTTCTTATTTTTTCTGGCATTTCTTGCATTTAGGTTTATAAGTGAGATCTAGCACTCCTCCTCGGTTATAGTCGAGGAAGTAAGACCTCGGCAATCGGGCATCGGCAATGTAAGACCGAGGAGCGTTTATCCTTCACATAAAGTGACCGTGGGTTTTACCAAAGTGCTGACAAGGTGATAGGTCACTGTATAACTGAAATATTCTTCAAGCGGGATTAAACCCAACTCACTCTCTTGCATTATGATTCTTGGTATGTCCACCCCATACCCGTGCAGGTGGCTTTCACCGAGGGGCAAGCGTCAACGCACTGTGGAATCACGGGTTTCTGAAACCCCGTTAAATCTGAAATAATGTTCAAAACAGCGTTAAACCCAACTGGCTCACTGACTGGTATTGCAGGATAGGCTTGAAGATCTCTCCAGATTTTCCAGGCACATGTTCAGCACATCAGGCAGATGTCCTGTCTGGGAAGGGCCGCGCATTGACTGCAGCCCAGGCAAGTCTGTTCTTCCTCTACTGATTCAGTTAATGGGATACTTTAAGCACCCTGCACCATACAGCTGAACACGTGGCACTTATTACAACGTCTCGGCCGAGACGGAACCGGTGGGCATAGATTCCTTAATTTGTTGCAATGACCAGTCTAAGTTCCAGGTTCGATGTCCAACATGGATCTATTTGTGTTGCCCATTCCTTGCCAAGCGACAGTGTAACAGAATCGTGAAGGAAATGTCTGGTTTGTTTGTATCTTGCCTTAAGGACTGTAAGTTGTTACAGTGTATCATTGATTTCACACCTTCCAGAAACTCTTCTTGAAAAAGGCGTCACTTAGCGGACATCTGCAGTAGCACGAGGGATTGTGTCCCAGATAGTCTGCAAATTGCACGTGTGAGAGTGTCCTAGACCGTTTACAGTTGCTCGTGGGCATGTGTATTTGACAGTCTGTAGTTGCACGTATGAGAGTGTCCTTTATAGTCTACAGTTGCGCGTGTGAAAGTGTCCTAGACAGTCTAGAGTTGCACGTGGGCATGTGTTTTTGACAGTCTGTAGTTGCACGTATGAGAGGGTCCTTTACAGTCTACAGTTGCACGTGGGAGTGTGCTATAGACAATCTTCAGTTGCACGTGGGAGTGTGCTATAGACAGTCTTCAGTTGCACGTGGGAGTGTGCTATAGACAGTCTTCAGTTGCACGTGGGAGTGTGCTATAGACAGTCTTCAGTTGCACATGGGCGTGTTCTGGACAGTCGATACACCAGCGACAGTCATGCTACCTTGATGAGGCCTCGTGAGACTCATTGTGCGGCGGGCAAACAGCTCGCATTCTTAAAAGGATTATCGACTATTTTCTGAAGGAACCTGCATGCAAACATCGCTCTCTAATAGGTCTTAATTAGATTGTCGAGTTTATTTCTTTGATTCTTGTTACAGGCCTCCAGTCTATGGTGCACCGCGCGCACTCCCGACTGGGGCAGCGATTCCTGCAGTATCGGGTTTCTAGTAAACAGATTAAAGTGCTTTCAGTAATATACAAGGACGGCCTGGGGTTTCAGTCCTTGTATATCAACAGATATCATTCACAACACGGAGACTGTAAAATATATAAAATATTATCATGATATAAGGTTGATTGTGTGATCGCCCTCCTTTGCATTGCTCTGTCAGTGCAGGAGCTTCAATGTGGAGTGTTCGGACCCTTTGTCTAGTTGCGTGTGTATGTACCGTCCCTGACTTCAAGACTAGAGGATATATCAATGTGTTCAGACCACATGTTTGTTTGTTGTTTAACGCCGCTCTCAGCAATATTCAGCTACATAACGGCGGTCTGTAAACATTCGAGTCTGCACCCGACAATCCAGTGATTGGCATCATGAGCATCGATCGACGCGATTGGGGATACGATGACATGCATCAACTAAGTCAGCGAGCCTGACCACCTGATCCCGTTAGTCGCTCTGTCCCGTCCGTACGGTTGATCAACACTTCGAGCATCTGGGGGGGGGGGGGGGGCGGTGCTGTGCGGGTGTGTCGGAGACAGATGTACTTTATGGAGTCCTGACGTTTCAGTGTAAGGCGACACTAGTTGCACTACAAGTATGAATGCATGCCTGGTTCGGCCTGGTCCGTGTGCTCCCAGTGTGTGCTTCGTACGTTCTCCTGTCCACAAACACTTGGGTTCGATTACGCAACAAGTGAAGAGCCAACCTGATAAATATATAAAGCCCCTTCTTGTGCCTTAGATAAACATGTGAAGCTTTTTCTTGTCCCTTAAGTACAACACGTGAAGCCCTTTCGTGGCGTCTGTCGTCTAAGGCGCCGCGATTCGCTGTGCAGAGTTGCGTTTCCTTGGGCACGCCAGAAACCTATGATTGTGGGTTCGAATCCCGGTTCGCCCTAAATTGGGTTTCTTGGTTTGTCAGCACCATACCCGTGCTCGACGGTTTCACCGAAGTGGTAAACGTCTGAGACCTGCATCACTTCGGACTTTCCTCCCACATTAAGCTGATACGCAGCGATATGACTGGAAAACTGTTAAAAGCGGCGTTAAATCCAACTCACTCACTCACTTGGCTTCTTGGAACAACACGTGCACCTCACTCTGTCCCTTGGTACACATTCGAAGAGTTATCCCCCCTGGTTGTAGAAAATCAAAACTAGTTTATAAATGTCCTGTGAAGGCCAAGTAACGTCTCGATGCCAGATTGTATGTTTATGCATCATGTTGCAATGGTGTAGTTAATGTGATCACCATTGTTTCAACTGGCGTACACACTTCGTGTTATCGTTGCCTGTCATTAAAGGGGATACACGCATAAGAGGGCTGTCAACATGACCTCAGACAACCCAGCGCAATCTCTGATAAATGAGACAAGCTGCGGCTAAGTACGTGTTGTATCAACTTACAGCAGGTAAGCGGGTAGTCCACGGGTAGTCCACGGGTAGTCCACGGGTACACTGACTCAACAGGTGCGCTCACTACAGTCAGTATTGTGTGAGACTGTGTCAAGGAGTGTGTGCCAGGGAGGCTGGATGATACACTTCATATTCCCCGTAATGATCCACACATACCCCGTAATGATCCACACATACCCCGTAATGATCCACACATACCCCGTAATGATCCACACATACCTCGTAATGATCCACACATACCCCGTAATGATCCACACATACCCCGTAATGATCCACACATACCCCGTAATGATCCACACATACCCCGTAATGATCCACACATACCCCGTAATGATCCACACATACCTCGTAATGATCCACACATACCCCGTAATGATCCACACATACCCAGTAATGATCCACACATACCCCGTAATGATCCACACATACCCCGTAATGATCCACACATACCCCGTAATGACCCACACATACCCCGTAATGATCCACACATACCCCGTAATGATCCACACATAGTCCGTAATGATGCACACATACCCCGTAATGATCCACACATACCCCGTAATGATCCACACATACCCCGTAATGATCCACACATACCCCGTAATGATCCACACATACCCCGTAATGACCCACACATACCTCGTAATGATCCACACATACCCCGTAATGATCCACACATACCCCGTAATGATCCACACATACCCCGTAATGACCCACACATACCTCGTAATGATCCACACATACCCCGTTATGATCCACACATACCCCGTTATGATCCACACATACCCCGTAATGATCCACACATACCCCGTAATGATGCACACATACCCCATAATGACCCACACATACCCCGTAATGACCCACACATACCCCGTAATGATCCACACATACCCCGTAATGACCCACACATACCCCCTAATGATCCACACATACCCCGTAATGACCCACACATACCCCGTAATGATCCACACATACCTCGTAATGATCCACACATACCTCGTAATGATCCACACATACCTCGTAATGACCCACACATACCCCGTAATGACCCACACATACCCCGTAATGATCCACACATACCCCGTAATGATTCACACATACCTCGTAATGATCCACACATACCCCGTAATGATCCACACATACCCCGTAATGATCCACACATACCCCGTAATGATCCACACATACCCCGTAATGATCCACACATACCCTGTAATGATCCACACATACCCCGTAATGATCCACACATACCCCGTAATGACCCACACATACCCCGTAATGATCCACTCATACCCCGTAATGACCAAAACATACCCCGTAATGACCCACACATACCCCGTAATGACCCACACATACCCCGTAATGATCCACACATACCCCGTAAGGATCCACACATACCCCGTAAGGATCCACACATACCCCGTAATGACCCACACATACCCCGTAATGATCCACTCATACCCCGTAATGACCAAAACATACCCCGTAATGACCCACACATACCCCGTAATGACCCACACATAACCCGTAATGATCCACACATACCCCGTAAGGATCCACACATACCCCGTAATGATCCACACATACCCCGTAATGAACCAC